GCAGTTCAGAGAATGACTTATTCAAGGTCATGCCGCTTGTAAGTTGCATGAACAAGGACTTAAGGCTTTAGCTACCACCTCTACACTATCCCACACTAGAAAGCTTCTTTGTGAGCAGTTCAGCTCCAAGCTTCTCCCCATTAGGCTTCAAAGCAGTCCTTGCTCAGGAGGTATTTATTGAATGATTCTACGTGCCAGGTACTGTGCTACCTAGGCTTTTCTTTCTTTTCTTTTTCTTTTTTTTTTACATTTTTAAAAAGATTTTATTTTTAAGCAATTTCTATTCCTAATGTTGGGCTCAGACTCACAACCCCGAGATCAAGAGTCACACGCTCTACGACTGAGTCACCCAGGCGCCCCTTTCTTTGCATTTTTTAACAAAACAGATACGGTCTCTGCTTTTACAAAATTTAGTCTAATGAGGAAGGCAGACCTACACAAACATTAAGGTGGCAAATTGTGATAAAAGGGGGCACCTGGGTGGCTCAGTCGGTTAAGCGCCGGCTTTTGGCTCAGGTCATGATCCCAGAATCCTGGGATCAAGCCCCTCATCAGGCTCTCTGCTCAGCGGGGGTCTGCTTCTCCCTCTCCCTCTGTGCTCTCTCTCTCTCTCTCAAGTAAATAAATAAAATCTTTTAAAAAATTGTGATAAAAGATGCAAAAGAAAAGGAAACTAACAGAGGTAAGCTGATTAAGAAAGGGGTGGTAATGGAAGTTCAATCTAACATCTGGAGAATTATACACTAGCCAGACAAAACAGGAGGGTGGAGAGGAGGCATGCCAGGAAAAGGGAAGAACACTTTGGAAGGCCCTGAGGTTAAGTGTAATGTGGAAGGAGAGTGGACAGGAGGTTGGGAGGCAGAGCTATATAATGGAGGACCTTGTAGGCCATATGGGGTTTGAAGCTCATTCTGAGTGCAATGGAAACAATAAAAGGTTTTATTTTTTACTTTTAGAAGCGGGGAGGAGCAAAGGGAGAGAGAGAAGCAGGCTCCCTACTGAGCAGTGAGCAGACTTGGGACTCGATCCCAGGACCCTGGGACCACGACCTGAGCTTAAGGCAGACGCTTAACGACTGAGCCACCCAGGCGCCCAAGACACTGAAAAGTGTTATATGAGGGACTGGCATCCTCCAATTTATGTTTATACAAAGGTCACCCTCTGGCTGCTGTGCATAGATTAGATGGAAAGCAAGCAAAAATATTTTGGGAGAGGAGAGATCAGGAGGCTGCCACAGTCTGCTGGCAGGAAATTATGGAAGCTTGGATTAGGGCACTGGCTATGGAGCTGCGAGACCGCAGAGTCAAGATGCAATGTGGAAGTTGAAATAACAGGTCTCAGAGAGTGTTTGATTACGGAAGGAAGGAGGTGTCAAGGATGCCCTTACAGAGGCACCTGGCAGGCTCAGTCGGTGTAGCGGGTGACTCTCGATCTCGGGGTTGTGAGTTCAAGCCCCACACTGGGCTTAAAATATAAAAGAAATACTTAAAAAATAAAAGAAAATAAAAAGAAAAAGATCTTTAAAAAGAGAGAATGGTCGTATAAATTAAGTCGTAGAGATGTAATATACAACATGGTGACTGTAGTTAATAATATGGTATCGCATACTACAAAGTTGACAAGAGAGTAGATCATAAAGTTCTTATCACAAGAAAAAAATGTGTAAGTAACCATGTGTGAGATGTTAATTAACTAGACTTACTGAGGTGATCATTTCACAATATATACAAATATCAGATCATTATAATGTACACCTTAAACTAATATTTTTTGTTACAATTACAACAAAAAAGAAAATCCTTTTGACTCAGATTTGAAGGATGATAAAATGAAATAAAATCTTCATAACTTAAAAAAAATAAAATAAAAAATACGCCCTTCAGGTTTCCCGCCTGAACGACTGGGTATATGAGGTACTTTTACTGAAATAAGAAACACTGGAGGAAGAGCAGGTTTTTAGAAGAAAGATCATATTATTTTTTTAAGAGTAAGCTCTGGGCCCAACATGAGGCTTGAATTCACAACCCCAAGATCAAGAGTCGCTCGCTCCACTGACTGCACCAGCCAGGCTCCCTGGGGAGTATCACATTTTTAAAATGCTTTTTAAGATCACACATTTGAGATGCTTATGAGACAATGGGCCTTTTAAGTTGTCCATAAAACGTGATACAGTTGTGACAGGAGTGATTTCTCAGGCTTGCTGCGTAGCACTTGACATAATGCATTCACGTTCGTTTTCCAACGTAAGCCTCACAACTCTGAGACAGGCATGAATGACGATCCTCATTTTATAGCTCTCGATGGAGGCTCTGAAAGGTGTGGTATTATTCATTCAACCTTTACTAGGCAACACTACATTCCAGGCTGCATGTCATGGAGTGAGGAGAGGGGTGTTTGCCTGGCTCAGTCCATAGAGCGAGCAACTCCTGATCTCGGGGTTGTGAGTTCAAGCCCCCACGGTGGGTGTAGAGATTACTTAAAAATAAAATCCTTATGAATAAAAGAAAAAAAGAGAAGAATACAAGGTAGAAGATAGAATACCGTCTCAAGTATATGATCAGATATCATGACACTCCTCCCTATTGTTTAGGTGAACAAGACAGGAAGCCCCACGAGTCATTAAACAAGTAGAGGACATAAAGACCAAAAACGTCCAGTCTGCACCATTAGAAATTCTCGAAGGGCACAGTTTGTGGAGAAGCAGTTGAGATGAGGGATTGCAAGGGAGCTGAGCAGCTTGTCCCCATGGCGCTTTAGTGAACAGAACCTGGCGCTTTATGCAAGAGGCCCTAGAACAGTCTATAATCTGTACAACTGTGGACTGAATTAACGAGATCAGAGACCTGTTCACATGAAGTAAAACCATGTGTTCCTACCCCACGGTGTGGAACCAGGTGACAGGGCTGACACTGAGCATATCTCTCTCACAGATGCATGGGCTCTTACCCTCCCAGGGAGGAGTTCCAAGCTAGCAGAGCACAGTCCCAGCAGGAGCTGTAGCCGCAGGCCCTGGGGCCTGTTTCATTAAAACAGTGCTGAAGCTGATGGCTCAATGTTTGGGGCACAGGCATCTGGGTCAGGAGGCAACTCTCCACTGCAATCCCGTTAGCCAGGTCGAGGCTTAGCTTGCCCTGTGACAGCTATACCCACATGGGGAAAAAGTGACCCAAAGCTGAAGACCCAACTTCACTTTCTCCAGAGTGCTTTCTTTCCACAGTCTGGGACAGAAACCATTGGCTCCCTGGATACCTTTCATACTGCTTTTCTTATGCTCAGTGGTCAATGCCAACCCTCTTCTTCTGTCCCCTGAGAAAGAATCTGGGAAAGCAAGAGGAGAGAAATATCTCGCCCTCCTTCCCAGCTCTCTTCTGCATGGCAAAGGCTGCCTGTCTAGGGCCCTGTTTAGAGGGCTCAGAGGGAGGGGCATTAGCTCTCACCGAGGACCCAAGGCTGCAAATCAAAGAGCTATAACCACAGGCACCATTTATGTAAACTCTCCTCACCTGCACTGAACCCAAACCAAATGGGGAGTTAATGTGATTCACCGGAGTGGAGAGGCCAGGGAGGGACAACTTTAACAGCCTTTTTCTCTAGACCCAGGGGGGCTTCCTTAGGAGACAGGTTGCCTGAAAACATTAGACAGGCACTGACCTAAGAACGAGGACCCAATCTGGACGGCAAACCCTGCCTTCAGGCACTGAGATTTATTGAAACACTACACACATATTAAAACATCTTTATATACATTTTCCCCGTTACAAGATTACAAATATACAAATTCAAAGTCAGCATCTTGTGTATTAGAAACAACTGTAGAAAACCTACACCCTAACTCCAGCAATTAAATTGGTGTTCCCTATCTGCCCATCACAAACTGGCTGCCCTCTCTGACCTGAACCCCAGTGCACCCCGAAACTGTCAAGTCCAGTTTCTGACAGTGAAACCACAGTATTCACATGGTATGTTTTTCCAAAGCAGCAGTGACACTCAGTTCTGGGGGGTGGAGGGGAGGATCTGTCTAGAATTCTGAGAGCCTCATGATTGTTCAGGGGAAATTGGGAGTGGGGGCCAATTCTCTTCAACAATATTTTGATTATAAACTCGATAGTGGTCTTCTCTCTAAATAAGCAATGAACTGTTGTCCTCTAACTGGTCAGGGCAATGTAATAAACCCAGTTGAATGCAATAAATAACGGTTATATGTCTTTTTGTCAGGATGAGAAGGGAGGTCCTTGAGCAACTTTGTTTCACATTGAGAATTCAGTCCCAGGAGAGAGCTCTCTCTGCCCCATGGGATATATAATGTGGGAGACACCGGGTGTGTAGAACCCTTAATCTTCATCCTTGTAGTCCAGAAAATTAGGGCAAACGTCTTTCTGACTTGGGTACTGATTTGAGTCCTTACTATAAGTGAAGCAAATGTTAATCGGCAAGTTGAGGCTGCCTCGGGAAGAGGAATACAGGAAAACGGAAGGGGCGAGACAAATGTAACGGCCCATCTCTTGGTTCCGAGGTCCTCCAAGAAGGCTCTCTTTCACTGACTCCAGGTCACTGTGGGGCACATGTTAGGGTGTGAAGGATTCCTACTGGTATCGACATCGGCATTCCCTGTTTTCTGGAATTTTCTGTAATGCCACACTTTTTCATCCTCCTCCTCCAACCAGCCCTTTCACAAAGAGCTATCAACCCAGGAGGCTGCTAGGATAAAGTGTCAAATGTATAATGGAGGAAGTGAGCCTTCACCCAAGCATCCATGAATTAATGTAAACACTGCAGAATTAAGATTAGTGGCCAACCCAGGAAATAATACTAGGAAAGGAAAAAGACGTCCAGAGCGATGCAATGGAAAGAACTGGAATCTCTGTCCGTAATCTTAATGCACTGATTATAAAGGGCGGGGGGCGGGGGGAGGGGAGGTCATCCACGTGGGCATCGATTCCAATCTTCAACGCCAGAAACTTCTCAAAGCAGTCTCAACATAGGCGCCAGCACCCTTGATATTAGCTTTCCAAGTATCTGAAGATGCTTTGCTTCAATCCTGAAGTGCTATCATCTGTTTTGAGGCGCTTAGGTGAAGGGGATGCCATTAAAGATGGAGCCCTTCTCCTTACCTAGAGAGCGGAGAAAGAGTCAGGACCAGCTCAGGACCCTCATACAAGTACTTACCTTCAATTAGCTCTTAAGGAACACATAGTTAAATCATGGATATTTAGGAAAAAGAGAAATATAAACTTTCCAGGAAAGTTTCAAAGCTGATTACCTACTGGAGGTAGCAGTCCTCTTGTACTTCATTGGGGAGTGCAAGATTAACACCCCAGCATAAGCCTTTAAGCCAGAAATATCTATATTTTTTATTTAAAAATCAATCAATCTTGCCCTGGAGAGCCACCAAATCAGTTCTCAAATTCCCTACCTGAGGCTTAGATGATTCTTTCGCTGCCTCAGCCTTAACAGGAGAAAGTGTATGGAAGACAAAGTTTCTTAAATTTCGGGGTGCACTGGGGTTCAGGTCAGAGAGGGCAGCCAGTTTCTGAAGCACAGCTTTGGGCTGGTTTAGCAGTGAGCCTGTCTTCAGCTGAAGAGAGAAGAGTCGGTTGGCATCAGATCCCAAGTGCCAAGGGAAGAATAAGAAGTCAGTCCCGCCCTGCCTCCCCAGGCCTTGAGGGGACATATTCCTACCCCACTCAAGTAAAAAAGAAAGAGCAGAATCTTTTGACATCTACTTTCATTTCCTGCAGCCACCTCCCTCCGCTAATGACAGAGTACTCCCTTAGCCTGACCTGGGCCTATAGAACCTTGCAGATCATGACATCAGCCTAACCAAGTCCCCAACCAACCTGGTGTGCACTTTCCGGCCTGATGGCTTCAAAAGGATTTCTGAGTAAAGACTTTGGTTCTTGAACAACCACAGCATGACTGGCTGAAAAGACAAGACAGAGAGGCTTGTTCTGGGCAAAGCTGGGTAGAATTACCTTTAAATCTAAACAAGCTAAGAAGCCTGTAACTAAACGAATAAACTAAAGCTTAAGAACTTGAATTATTTTATAATGGTGACTTGAAACTATAGTAAGGAGCGGCAGGAAGACAGACAACCAACTTGAACGTTGACAAATAGGTAACAGTAATAAGCAAAAACAAGCATGGTAAGATTGCAGAATAGTGTTTTAGGAGCCTCATTCTGGAATTAGATATATCTGGGTTCAAAGTCTAGCTCTGACACAATCCTGGGCAACTAAATAAAGAAGCCAGAATTCCTACTCTGAGCTGCCTTAGAAGATAAAGTCAAACCAGCTACCTTATACTCACAAGTACAATGTCCACTACCGAATAGTCTAAGATCCAAAAACACTGTCCTTTCCCAACTCGGAGGGCCCTCTTTAAGACAATGTTAGACACAGGACCATGCCTAAGCCGCAACAGTCCCTAAGGCTGCAGTCGCTTCCAAGGCTCCAGCACGACCAGTCCAGGGGGCTGGACCCAAGGAAGGCCAAGAGCTCACCATTTTTCTGTAGTGCTTTGGCTGTAACTTTCTTGGCTAGCATCATAAACTGACTGTCTTCCCCAATGTCGTCTTCTTCAGCTGCAATTTTCCCCTGCTGTGCCTGAAAACAAAAATCAACATTAACGGAAGTCTACCGCGTCCCCAAATAGCATAGCCTGGATTGTGAAGCTAAGGTACCTGGGATATCATTTGCTTTCTTTTTTACAACCTTTGTTGCTATAGACCAAAAAAATGATATTGGACAAACATACACGAATTGAACTGCTCATGATCTTCTCAAAGCACAAAAGAAAATTCAAGGATTAAAAGGGACAGCAATAAGTTGCCCAAGATTTTGAAACTAGCCTGACCAGTGAGGTGAGTGGGTCCTCTCCTCCTCATAAACTAGGGACAGAACAGAGGACGTTCTTACAGACTTCCTACCTGGTCCCGAAGCCACTGCTCTCGTTCAATTCGCTCCTTCCTCCAACGGGCTTCCGTCTCATCAAGCTGCTCTTCGATCTGATCATCATCAGAGTCTCTGTGGAACAAGTCCATCTGGGAAGCATCATCTAAAGCAAAGAGTCAAGGCTTTCAGCATTCTGCAGTCTCCTGGGAGAAGGTGCCCGGACAGACACACAGAACTCATCGCTCATCATACACCAACACAAGCTTTCCCCACTCACTAACACAAAGTCACGGTTACGGCCAGGTCCTCCTCAACAGCCTGCTGTGGTTTTGATTTCCACTTGCCGTCTTAAACCGGACAAACACGGATGCCGTACCATTTTGTTTCCAAAAGCAATGACCAAGATACCTATGTTTTTCCATCGGAATTTCCTCATTCGGCCAGGACCGTCACTGTGCAGATCCCCATCAGCGAGGTACCTCTCTTGGTATAAACGTAGCTGTCGCTTATCATCATCCAACATCGTTTTCCTGCAGGAGAAGTACAGCATTCAAAACCGGGACCACTCTGGCTGGTCGTAGAAACACCCCATTACGCAGAAGGGCCTGTTGGGATACTGACATGTGTATTTTCTTGATTTGATTCTGCAGCTCCTCGTCAGAAGGAAGTGCTTCATCAATTTCGTCCTGTTCATATTCGTCAAGCTCTTCCCCATCATACTCATCTTCACTTCCCACATCACTCCCCGACACCTCTGCCTCATCCTCCAGGTATTTCTTCAATCTCCTAGAAAAGAATTGTAAAGATTAGAAATGCAACAGTGAATACAAACATACACAGACTATGGATGCAGTGAGAAAAGCAGAACATAGAGCCGCTTAAATTTTAATAATACATTTTGAAGATACTTAAAGTCTATCATTTAATACACACTGTATGCCAATAACTGTGTTTTCCAGGCATCGTGGCATTATCTCAGGGGGGAAGACTATTATTCCCTTCAATTTACAGTTGAATGAAATGAGACTGAGGGAGTAAATAAATTACCCAAAGTCACACAACTAGGAGGTAGTAGAGCCTGGATTCTTTAAAGCCAGAATCCCAATCTCCTCTATACATTTGGGACATACCTGCTGGCAGGTTCAGATTATTCTGTTCTGTATTTAAGCTCACCAGTGTTGGGAGACAGATTAGAGATGGTATGGTATAAAGACATAATAGACTGGGATCCCTTACAGCCACCAGATCTTGACCCCCAAGTTAGAGGCATGACTGAGGCTCAGAGTTACTGATAAGTAAAACCACTACTAGTTTTTGTGACCTCAGTTCCTACTGAGAACAAATCTGCTGTCACTTTGGGCTCAAAGTCCTATCATCTATGGTCATGAGTGGTAGAAGTTTGATGGCTTTCTAAAGGCTGATTTTTATCAAAGACTTGTTATTTTTTTTTCAAGGATTTTACTTATTTATTTGACAGAGAGAGAGACGGCAAGAGAAGGGAACACAAGCAGGGGGAGTGGGACAGGGAGAAGCAGGCTTCCCGCCGAGCAGGAAACGGATGTGGGGCTCGATCCCAGGACCCTGGGACCATGACCTGAGCCGAAGGCAGCCGCTTAACTGAGCCACCTCAGCACCCCAGACTTACGTTATTCTTTTAAAGCTGAGTTCCTCTAAATCCCAGAGTTCCTGAGGAATTCCTTCGGAGGGCTACTAGCCACTGAGTTCTCTAATCGTCCCATTAGCCCATTTGGAGCAGTTCAACTTTTAGCTGTCATTCTTTCTAAGATTTCATTCGGACAAAGGACTTTGCAGTTAAATAAGGTTTAAGAACCACTTCCTTAGAAAAATCTATAGATGACCCAAAGCTGTAGGAGGTAGTTAACCTGAAAGGTGACAAATTAGAACTCTAAACTTGATATTAATAGAATGGAATGATGGGCTAGAGACAATAATACAAAGCTAGTAGGGATCAATATGATATCCTATATGTGAATTCCAAAAGTCATCCACGTAAAATATAATATTGAATACCTATTAAAATGGTCTTTATAAAACTTTTAACATCACGGGAAAATGCTTATGGATATCCTAAGTGAGAAAAAAGCAAGACGCAAAACTGTACATACAAAAAACCAACCAACCAACCAACCTGCACAGATCTCAACTATATGAAAATATATGCATAAAAATGGTTATGGAGCAATCTACCATCTACACATTCATTAAATACTTGGATGGTGAACACAGACGACTTTTTATTTGTAGCTTTCTGTCTTCTTTTAAATATTCTAAAATAAATGGTTTACTTTCATGAGCAGAACAACGAAACATTAAAAAAAAAAAATGAACGGGAGGTCGTATGCCCAACACTAGGATGAGGAAAACCTGAAATGACAGTAATTCATAAGAAAAAAGACCCTACTCCTAGACAAGGAATTTTTGTTGTCTACTAAATCCTCAGGATCTATAGTGACTCAGCCCTTACGATCTTTGGTTACTTTACAAGCAGTGTGCATCCATATCATGGTTGGACCGTTACCCGCAGCGGGAGTCGGACCATACCTGAGGATAAAGAGAGTATCTGGGACGTGAGGAGTCAGAAAGCAACGTCATGTGAGAAACAGCTGAAGGAACTAGAGATATTTAGTATAGAACTCACTTAAGGGCGTACTTAACCATCTTTGAACACTCAAGAGATACCATGTGAATGGGGTTTACTTCATCTGTGTTAACCACAAACAGCAACAGACCCAGCAGACTAGGTAAAACAGGAGCAAGCGACAACTCAGCCGTTAGGAGAACTTTCTCTAGCAACGGAAGGAATGGACATAACACCTACATTTGCCTTTTCAACCTCTCAGACTGCTTCAGGAGCTCTTCCTCATCATCATCTTCATGGTCTTCCAGGGCCACATCTTCATTAGCAGAGTTACTGCGTTCATCCTGAAAAATCAGAGTATCACACACAGAGTTAAGCAGAACAGAACGTGTCCTCAACAAACACAGGATTTATAAACTTCTGCCCAAACATCTCATTCTAGGAAATGGCTTCGGATGACATGCCAAACAGAATTCTCAACAACTCAGACTAGGAAAGAGAGAGACAGCAGCAGCAACACCTGGAGTTCAGTTAGGATTACTCTGTTCCCTTCCAGCTCACCTCATCACTGTCAAACTCATTATCATTTGGGACAAGCCGAAAGTCTCCAAATTCCTCCTCTTCACCTTCTTCCCTAAAATGCAAATCAAGAAACCAATAAATAGGTCGTTGAAAGCAAACCACAAGGATTTAGCCAACTTAGGAACTGAAAATATTTAATTGGCCCCAACAATCTCTTTAAGAAACAGGAAACAAGATACCTTGCCTTTAAAAAAAAATTTGTTTAATTGTGATAAAATACACATAAGGCACCACATCTCAGCTGGCCCGCCCAAGACCCCCTGAGCGCCAACCCTATTCCCCCGCGCGGTCCCATTTCCGTTCCAACAAGATGAAAGAAACTATCATGAACCAGGAGAAAGTTGCCAAACTACAAGCACAAGTGCGCCTTGGTGGGAAAGGAACTCCTCGTCCAAAGAAGGTGGTTCATAGAACAGCTACAGCAGATGATAAAAAACTTCAGTTCTCCTTAAAGAAGTTCGGGGTAAACAGTATCTCTGGTATTGAAGAAGTGACTGTATTCACAAACCCAGGAACAGTGATGCACTCTAACAACCCCGAAGTTCAGGCGTCGCTGGCAGTGAACTTTTGCCATCACAGGCCACGCTGAGGCAAAGCGCTGACAGAAATGCTACCCAGGATCTTAAACCAACTCGGTGCAGACAGTCTGACTAGTTGAAGAAGACTGGCTGAAGTCTGCCCACACAATCTGTGGATGGAAAAGCACCACTTGCTACCGGAGAGGAGGATGATGATGATGAAGTTCCAGATCTTGTGGAGAATTTTGATGAAGCTTCCAAGAATGAAGCAAACTGAATTGAGTCAACTTCTAAAGAAGTTACTGGGAGCTGCTATTTTATATGACTGCTTTTTAAAATTTTGTTCATGGATCTGATAAAATCTAGAGCTCTAATATTTTTAAGCCCAAGCCCCTTGGACACTGCAGCTCTTTTCAGGTTTTGCTTATACACAATTCATTCTTTGCAGCTAATTAAGCTGAAGAAGCCTGGGAATAAAGTTTGAAACAAGGTAATAAAGTTCTTTCCCTAGGAAACAAACAAACAAAAGACACATAACATAAGCACAACGCCCAGCACAGAGCCCGAAGTGGGGTTTGATCTCAAGACCCTAAGATCATGACCTGAGCCAAAATCGAGACGGACGTTTAACTGACTGAGCCACGCAGGTGCCCCAAACTCTGTATCCTTTAAACAACAGTTCCCCACTCTTCCCTCCCCTCAGCTCCTGACAACTACCCTTCTACTTTCTGTCTCTATGAATTTGACTACTCTCAGTACCTCATCTAAGTGGAATCCTACAGTATTTGTATTTTGGGGACTGGCTTATTCCACCTAGCATAATGTCCTCAAGGTTCATTCATGTTGTTGCATGTGTCAGAATTTCCTTCCTTTTTAAGGATGACTAATCCATTTTGTGTGTGTGTGTGTGTGTCCACCACATTTTGTTTCTCCACTTGGGATGCTTCCATTTTTTTAAAAAAGATTTTATTTCTTTATTTCACAGAGAGACACAGCGAGAGAGGGAACACAAGCAGGGGGAAGTGGGAGAGGGAGAAGCAGGCTTCCCGCCAAGCAGGGAGCCCGATGTGGGGCTCAATCCCGGAACCCCCGGAGTATGACCTGAGCCGAAGGCAGATGCTTAACGACTGAGCCACCCAGGCACCCCGGGATGCTTCCACTTTTTAATCATTATGAATAATGCTATGATGAACATGGGTATACAAATATCTGAGACCCTGTTTTCACTTCTTTTGTGAATATACTTGAAAGTGGAATTGCTGGATCATATTCTATTTTTAATTTTTTGAGACACTGCCAATCTGATTTCCACAGAAGCTTCAACATTTTACATTCCCACCAGCAGTGGATAAGGGTTCCAATTTCTCCATATCCTCACAAACACTTGTTATTTTGGGGGCTTTTTTTTTTATAGTAGCCATCCTAATGAGTGTGAGGTAGTATCTTACTGTGGTTTTGATTTGCATTTCTCTAATCATTAGTGTTGAACACTCTCATGTGCTTATTCTTGCCTTTTTATTCTCAATAATTATGAACATTTATTAAGCACCAAGAGTATACTGCAATGGTTGCTATGTAAAAACACAATTAACAACATAGTGTCCCTGCCATGGAGCTTACAATCTAAAATGAAATACAACAAGAATGCTGTAAGCCTACCCCAAAATTTCCTTAACTTAGAAATGGCTATTTTGGCAAGTGAGGCAAAATGGCCTATCATTTTAGGTACAATGTTAATAGGCTTTGAACATGATCCAAAGAATGTTTTACTTATACCCAGACATTTCCCCCAATTAGAGTAGGCTTGGTAAGAAAAAGAGCACTTAGAAATTGGGTAAGAACAATGAATTATTTCAAATTGCCTTGTAGGACCTTAAACAGAGAAATGCTTACTGGCCTGAGTTTTTCCACAGCTAGGGAAAACCCCATGAAAAATATCATGAACTCAACCAAACCTGTCTTCTATTCCACTTGCAAATTTTCGACTTCCTCCTCCTTTCCCACAGGTAAGAATTCCAGTGACGCCCCTAGCAGGGAAGAAAGTACTGTATCTAGACAAAATATCCTGAAGTTGTAGAGGGTTACCAAATCGAACTTCCAGGAAATATTAATTCCTATTTTAAAAGAGGAGTGAGCAAAGACAGCAGTGGTGCATCTGGCTGCAGGAGAGGCCTGGCCATGTAAGATACATAAACAAAGCAGCTGAACTCAGTTCATGCACCTTCAAAGTGATTAAGAATATGGGTAAATAGTTGCTTTTCTGTCCCTTATTTCTGGTGTAGGGGGATTTGACAATTTAGCATCAAGATCCCAAATTGCAAAGCCTGTACTATTTTGCCTATATCCATAGTATAATATTTAATAAATACTTCCCAAGTTTTCCTTGCTGGTGACGTATTAGCTGACAAAAGCACACTGAAGGGATTTTGATTCTTACTGTCAAATGCAAAGACTGTTTTAAACATCTGAGTACATATAGTCTTAAACTATATATTATTTTCTTTTTTTTATTTAAAAGATTTTATTTATTTATTTGTCAGAGAGAGAGAGAGCAAGAGCACAAGCAGGGGGAGCGGCAGGCAGAGGGACAAGCAGACTCCCCGTGGAGCAGGGAGCCTGATGCGGGACTCAATCCCAGGACCCTGGCATCATGACCTGAGCTGAAGGCAGATGCTTAACCAACTGAGCCACCCAGATGTCCCTATATTGATTATTTTCAATCACTGATAATTCTTTGAATTTTTAGTGTTCTCTAAAAGAACACTAAATAGTAATTGGTTATAAGTTACCTGAAAAATGAAATAGAATTTAATTTACTCTGTAAAGTGCATGCACAAACTTTTAAAAAAATACATGCAAATATTTTAATTTGCCCTTTCTTTTTTTTTTTAAGAGAAATGCTGTGTTTAATGGTAAAGCTTAGCACACTTTTAACACCAGCCATGGCCTGAAGTCAAAGCAGCAGGGACAGGTAGGCGACCCCTGCAGAGTCTCACATGGCGAAGAGAATGAGGAAGGCGACCATCCCATAGAAAAGCCCTCTGTCCTCAGACAGGGAAAAGCCCAGAATGGCACAGGAGAAGAGCTGCTGCTTGACAGACGGGTTCCTGGCACAGCCAATGATCAAGCTGCAAACACCGTTCCAGAGCCAGCCCCTGAACCAGCCACACTAACTGTGGTAGCCCCAGCACCAATAATCGTGGCTGCCGGAGCGCCTGGGTGGCTTGGTCGGTTAAGCGTCTGCCTTTGGCTCAGGTCATGATCTCAGAGTCCTGTGATCGAGCCCTGCATCAGGCTCCCTGCTCATCGGGGAGCCTGCTTCTCCCTCTCCCTCTGCCCCACCTCCCCGCTTATTCTCTCTCTTTCAAATAAATAAATAAAAATCCTTTAAACAAACAAACATGGCTACTGCAGCAACGTCCCAGGAGAGAACACTGGTCTGGAACTCTGTCAGGACCCCTGGAGCAGGGAGCTGCTGTAGGAGCGCTGTTTAGATGGGATCCTGGCCTACTCAAGGAGGCAGACACAGGCCTGACTGGAGCCTTGGTACAACAGCGGATCAGAGCCAGAGGAATGAGCAGTGCCCGGTGCTCTGCACTGTCTGCCTCCCAGCTTTAGCTCTAGGTCTCTATTCTTGCCGTTTTTGTTTTGTTTTAAAGATTTTATTTATTTATTTGAGAGAGAGAGAAAAAGCACGAATGGGGGGAGGGGCAAAGGGAGAGAAAGAAGCAGACTCCCTGCTGAGCATGGAGCCCAACTCGGGGCCCGATCCCAGGACCCTGAGATCATGACCTGAGCCCAAGTCAGATGTTTAACCGACTGAGTCACCCAGGCGCTCCATATCCTTGCGTTCTTTAACCTTGTTCTCCACCAACCAAAGGAAAGCACTGTAATTTCCTTACTTTGCAAACAAGACTCAAACGTACTGCAAGACTCTCAGACAGGATAGGAAGCCCCTAAGATGGCTCCTTATTGCTGACTTCAGGATTTTATCAGAAGACTGGGCCTTCCTACGTTCCCTCCAATCACTGAGACTCACCTGTCTGTGGGGAAAGAACCTGAGCAAAGAGCAAGTGCTTCTTCCATCGGATCCCCCAAGCTGCTCTCCTTCTCCTGCTTATTTAACTCTGATGGAATCAGAGTAGAGGCATCTATATCACAACAAAGAGAAAGATTTGTCACCAAGAAATAACAGCTCTGTCCTCTTTCCCCAGCTCAATACAGTTCTAAGGTAAGCTTGCCAAAAAGATCCATTCATTCAACAAATCCTTATTTGGTGCTTACTATGTGCCAGGCACAAGTGATACGGTAGTGAACAAAACAAAAATCCCAGCTCACATAGAGCTGACATTCTAGCATTGGGGAGAATAGAACACGCAGGTGAAAACAGGCATTTATGTGAAATTAACTATACTCCAACACTCTTCTAAGCTTTGCATGCATAGTAACCATAAATGAGAAATCGCATGGCAAAAGCTGAAGCTTAAGTTGACATTTTACCACCTTAAGAAAGTAAGGGCTCCAAATGTCAGGAAGCTAAGAATTCAACCTATACACAAGAATCCAGCACAGCCCTGTTTTCTGTGAACTTTTCACCCAAGGGTAACAGGCTTCTTTTCAAGGACACTGACTTAAGATATTTAGCTGTGGTGAGCCTGATATTCTCTGTTGGCTATTTACCCTGAGAAATGAATTTTCCTGAACAAAGATTCAGAAGTTCCTCCAGGTTCTCTTTCTTGTCATTCTTCCTGGGCTGAGTTTTTTCGGTTTGAGATGTGAACTTTCCGGTACACAGATCCAATAGCTCATCCATGTTAGCATCCATGGCATTCTCATCCATACTGGCCAATGGCAAGCCAGGCTGCAAAGCCTGGTACTGATTCCTGTGGTTTCTAACGTTTAAGAACCTACAAACACAATGAAGAATATAAGAAATTCTCTAGGGGAAAAAACAAAGTAGTAGGTAAAAAAATCTAAAGAGGATTTTTTTTTTAAGAAGGGGGGAGGGGCAGAGGGAGAGAGAGAGAGTCTTAGGCAGGCTCCATGCCCAGCCCAGAGCCCAAGGCAGGGCTTGATCTCACGACCCTGAGATCATGACCTGAGCCGAAATCAAGAGTAGGACGTTTGGGCGCCTGGGTGGCTCAGTTGGTTAAGCGACTGCCTCCGGCTCAGGTCATGATCCTGGAGTCCCGGGATCGAGTCCCGCATCGGGCTCCCTGCTCAGCGGGAAGTCTGCTTCTCCCTCTGACCCTCTTCCCTCTCGTGCTCTCTATCTCTCATTCTCTCTCTCTCAAATAAATAAATAAAATCTTAAAAAAAAAAAAAAGAGTAGGACGTTTAACTGACTGAGCTACCCAGGCGCCCCATGGGGAAAAAAAATTGGATGTTTCTAAAACCTAACTTAAAAGCTGAATCCCAGGGGTGCCTGGGTGGCTCAGTTGGTTAAGCATCTGCCTTCAGCTCAGGTTATGATCTCGGGGTCCTGGGATTGAGCCCCATGTAGGGCTCCTTGCTCAGCAGGGAGTCTGTTTCTCCCCCTCTCTATGCCCCTCCCCATCGCTCATGTTCTCTCTCTCAAATAAATCTTAAAAAAATAAAAATAAAAAAATGCTGAATTCCAAACCAGAAGACTATAGCGTTGTGATAATCTAAACAGGGAGGGAGTTTAATAAAAGAATAAATGCTATTTGAAAGGTAAAGGGGTAAAGGGTAATTTTCGGTTCAAACAGTGCCAGAGTAGAACTTGGTGTTATGTCCACGTAATGTGCCACGGATCTGTAAAGCAGAGATCGAAGGATCAGAATGCCAGCAAGGACTATTTACGTTTTATTTTCTGGAAGGCCTTTGTTCAAACTTGCAGAATGTAATACTAATGGTCTGTACACCTCTTTCTCAGAAGAGAAAGCACAGATGGAGCAACAGAAGCTCACTTTATTTTTAAACAAATTAAGCAGTACCCAGCACCATCCCACCCACAGAAACATAAAACTACCTACCCATCTGCATCCAACAGTTGGCTCTGAGTGTCATCTTCTAAACAAAACTGGAAGTCTCCGGCTCCTAGGAAAAGTGTCTTAGGCTCTGGGGAGGCGTTATACAGATCCTGGGAATCCTCTATGGGAAGTGAAGGCTCAGACAGCTTTCCTGAACTCTGGCACCAAAACAAAACCAAACAAAAACAAAACATTTTATAATTGTCATTCACTGTCATGACAACAACAGAAGTTGCTATTTGCAGGATTTTATCCACTCTCAGGCAATTACAGTTGAGGAGGACAATGCATAGTCAAGAGAGGAATAAAGAAAAACATCTTTAGGAAAGTAAGAACACCGGATGAGGCTTGTTTTTAATACACACAGGGGGTGGTTGCTTTAAACTGAACATACATAATGTGCTGGGAGTTGGTTGGCTTGGACACACTTAATTTAGCAGTGTGGGAAGTAAAAGGGGGAGGAGATTAGAAAACAATTATCATCTTACCTTAGAAGCTGAGCTGACCAAACTGGCTCGAAATAGCCCAGGGGAAGGAGATCTGAAATCTCCTGCTGTAGGGAAAAAACTGGTCCCACGGCCTGTCTGTCTATTGCAAGGCTGATAGGATGGAATCGTGGAGCCAATCAGCTCAAAGCTGCTATTGTGGCTGCTCTCCTTTGTTAGCAATGAGCATGAATCATCTTCATCTAAGGAAAGAGAAATAACTTTTAAGTACATGATTCCAGAAATGAGGTGGATCTGTTTAGGACAAAGAATTGAGAATGAAACTGTCAGGTAACATTCATAGGCAAACCTCTCAAGTTATATGTTCTAAAACATGAAGTCAAAGGTAAATTATAGTACTAAGATGGCATTATACCATCGAGGTTTATCACTGAGCTAAGTGACACCTGGAAGTTCCCATCTTTCTCTCACCCTGCCTAACGCCTATGATCAACTCTCCCCATTATCCACTCACGTATACATCTTCCTTTCATCTACATATGACAGAAATGTTTCACAGTTCACTTAATCAACACACACTACTAAGGACCTATTATATTGTCCACGGTCAACCGTAAGGAAACTGTAAGTTTTCAAAAACAGAACCAAGAAAAATCTTCTAATTTGTAAATTCCTTTCAGAAGAATTTTCTAACTCATAAATTCCTTTCATTGCCACAGGGGAGACTGAGAAAAGTCTACTAGAGTTCCAAAAAATGGAATCTTACGGAATTGTAGTCCTGAAGTACCAAAGTTAGAGGAGCTAAGAAAAGTTCTGTGTGGGAGTTACTACTTACCCAGTTTGCTAGACCTTTTGCCTGAGATTTCATCTGTCTCTGATTTTTCTTCACTAGGAAAGTAACTACAAAATAAGAAGGTCAGTTGTTTTATCTGTTTCTGCTTTTTTTTTTTTAAGACTTATTTTTTTGAGAGAGAGTGTGAACACACACTAGTGAGGGGAGGGGCAGAGGGAGAAGAGGGAAAGAATCCCAAGGAGACTCCCTGCTGAGCCTGGAGCCAGACACAGGGCTCCATCCCATGACCCATGAGATCACGACCTGAGCAGAAATCAAAAGTCGGACACTTAACAGACTGAGCCACCCAGGAGCCCATGTTTCTGCTTCTTATGAGAGGGGCAAACATAAGGGAATCTTATCTTTCCCTAGAGAGAATTACTTACCCCATCTTGGAAGAGTTGTCCTTAAATAGAAGTAAGGTCTCGGATGACAGAGGTTTGGGGACAGAGAGAAGGCCAACTGACTTGCCAATGTTACTGCTGCCATCACTGTTGTCTTTCTCCATTTCTTTCTCGTCTTTGGTTTCCGTTTCTTCACTACTGAGAAGGAATTCTACAATCTTCACCAATCATGCCGCCCCAGAACAAAAAAGTCCAAAAATTTAAAAGCATATATGCTGTTAGCCTGATATATGGCTTCTTGGTTACAGGTCACATCTTAGATCTGAAAAGGTAAACCTAAAGGAAGCTTGGTCTAACCATTAGGAGCAACATAACTTTCCCTGACACTTCTAGAGCTCTTTTATACTTATTTTACCTTTTACCCTCCCCAACTTGCTACAAGATTGTGAAAGAAGACTGGATTATCATTTTATTGAGGCAATGAGAGGTTAAATAATTAGCCTGAGATTGAGGGACAACTAGTAGCCTCAGACCAAAAACAGACTGTGACATGCAGCCCAGTTCAGACATTCAGACTCCCTTCTTTCTTGACCAGGAATAAATATGAACCAACTCTCGCAGTGACTTCAGAGTTCCAACACGGGGGCTTTTTTCTTTTCTATTATTTATTATTTTGGTGGCTTTTTTCTTTTTCAAAATACCCAAAACCCTATCATCATCTGTCTTACCTAGGCAGAAAACAATACTGTGGAACAAGGGCAAGAGGCCCTTTTATAATTACCCTCCGCAGCAAAGAAAGAAACTCAGGAAAATCTCAGCCTGCCTGAGAACTTATTCCAGACCTCCACCTGATCAAGGTTAAGACTACTGTTCATTCTGAATAGAGAAAACTACATACACAACAAAGATAAAAGCATCTAAGGGGGGCACCTGGGTGGCTCAGCTGGTTAAGCATCTGCCTTCAGCTCGGGTCATGATCCCAGGGTCCTGGGATCGAGCCCCGCATCGGGCTCCCTGCTTGGCGGGAAGCCTGCTTCTCCCTCTCCCACTCCCCCTGCTTGTGTTCCCTCTCTCGCTCTGTCTCCCTCTGTCAAATAAATAAATAAAATCTTAAAAAAAAAAAAGCATCTATGAATACAAAGCTGTTTCCATTTTAGTCATATATTTCAATAAGTAGATTAACAGGTAGAGGCCAAGGCTAGGGCCCCGCGAACGGCCAGTAGCCAAAGGCACTGACGGAACTGAATGCACTAGGACTACGGTACCTTGGAGCTACTTACATCATCTCTGCCCCTAAAATCTCTTACACGATTGAACATGCTTACTCTACTCTTATTCAAATCTGATTTCCTCTTTCCCTTACCCATCCTGACTGAGTAACAAAATTAAATAGTTGTCAGAACCTCCTGATTGCCTTCTTCCTCCTCTTCTTGCTCTAAATCTCCCTCTTCTCCATCTTCCTCCGACTCATCCGTCATTTCTTCCTCCTCTTCCTCTTCTTCAAATCCATCTTCATTATCTAACTTAAACAACGCCTGGCGCTTTCGGCGCTCCTCAAGCCTACGGAGTTTCATCGCTTCCTGTAGTTTGGCTTTCAGCACCTGAAGCTTTTCACCTGAACAGAAATGTGAAGAAATGCTGTAGACACAATGACCGACTACCTACTGCAATCATGAAAGTGTGCATTCCAGGCAACTCCAGAAGTGTTCTGGTCACATCCCCAAAGGAAAACCAGAGACCTTAGTACTCCAGGCTTTTGTTATCTTAACAAATAAGGATTATTATGAACTGAAGTATAAAAGAGAACTCTCATAGTGATGTTCTACACCCTGGGATAATATACTACACAGAGATTATAAAGTTATTAAAGAGGGCAAAAAAGGGGTGGAAAAGTAGGACTCTGAAAATCTCTGGCTCAGAAGCCATGAAGGACAACATTGATTATATTATTATTATTTATTTATTTAAGAAGCAAAACTACATCTACTCATATATTACATAGTTTTTTTTTTAAGATTTATTTATTTATTTGACAGAGAGAGACAGCGAGAGAGGAAACACAAGCAGGGGGAGTGGGAGAGGGAGAAGTAGGCTTCCCTCTGAGCAGGGAGCCCGATGCGGGCCTCAATCCCAGGACCCCGGGACCATGACCCGAGCCGAAGGCAGACGTTCAACGACTGAGCCACCCAGGCGCCCCAACATTGGCAATATTAAAGAATAAAAGAAACAACTCAAGAGTAAAATGGGCAAGGGGTATGTTCAAAGAAAAAATGAACATATGTGGTTAATAAACAAAAGTAACACTTAACCTCATTTCTCTCTTTTTTAAGATTTTATTTTTAAGTAATCGTACACACGACATGGGGCTCGAACTCATAACCCCAAGATTAAGAGTCACATGCTCCACTGACTGAGCCAGGCAGGCACCCCTCACCTCATTTGTAATTAGAGATACAAATCAAAATAAGAGATACCATTTTTGACATATTGGCAAAAATTAGAAGGTTTATGAACAAGAAGAAACAGGAACTCTTACAAACTGTAATTCAGCGTGTAAATTGGTACAACTATTTTAAAGGACAATGGGATGATATATATCAAAATTTGACTCAATGATTCCACTGTAAGGAATTCTGCATCCAGGGGCTCCTGGGTGGCTCAGTCAGTTAATTGACTGCCTTCAGCTCAGGTCATAATCCCAGGGTCCTGGGATCAAGCCCCACATCAGGCTCCCTGCTCAGCAGAGAGCCTGCTTCTCCCTCTCCCTTTGCTGTTCCCCTGCTAGTGTGCTCTTTCTCTCCCTCTCTGTCAAACAAATAAATAAAATGTTTAAAGGAAAAAAAAAAAGGAATTCTACATCCAGATACACCAACATATATCTGATACGGGGGTGCAACATTGAAATGCCAAAAACTGGAATAAACAAGATGTCCATTAACAGGAGTATGGTTAAACAAATCATGTTATAGTCACACAATGGAATATTATGCAGCTGTTAAAAAAAACCCTCAAAAACAATATAATGTGTATCTGAGCTCTGAAGTTAGGAGGTCTGGATTAGGCTACTGGTTCTACTACTCACAGGCTGTGTAAACTTGAGCAAGTTGTTTAAATGCTTTGTATATCAGTTTCCTCATATATAAAATAAGGATACTGATGTTATTTATAGTAAAGTACCTAGAGCAGTGCCTGGCAGAGAGTGAGTATCCAATGTCTGTCCGTCTCTCTCTCTCTCTCTCTCACACACACACCACACTCTGGTGTATGTATATGAATTTTCTTCCTAGGATACACAAGAAATTGTCAAGAGCTGCCTTTAGGAAGACTAATTTTCCATTTCATACATTTTCCTCAGTGTCTTAATTTTTTTCTATGTGATATATTAATTGTACTTTCAAAGTGGAAGTGGGGACAACAGACATTGTTAAAGCAAAAAAGTAGATTAGAAATCAGAATGCATGGTATGATCACATTATTGTTTGTTTCTAAAAACATATACATACAAACATGCAAAGAGAGATTAAAAGGATAAACAATAGGGATGCCTGGGTGGCTCAGACGGTTAAGTGATGCACTCTTGATTTCGGCTCAGGTCATGATCTCAGGGTTATGAGATAAGCCCCGTGTGGGCTCTGTGCTCAGCAGGATGTCTGCTTGAGATTCTCTCTCCCTCTCTCTCTCTCTGCCCCTCTCCCAACTCATGCCCACGCTCTCTAAAATAAATAAATAAAAGCTTTTTTTAAAAAAAGGATACACAATATAGTTATAGGTGTCTCTGATAGAGGATCGTAGAAGTCTTTTCTTTATTCTTTCTTTGTATTTTCTACAATGGATATTTAGAGTTTTTTATTTTTTAATTAATGTATTTATTTTTGAAGTTTTTTATGTATTTAAGTAATCTCTACACCCCATGGGGGACTCAAACTCACAACCCCAAGATCAAGAGTTGCACACTCTTCCAACTGAGCCAGAGAGGCACCTTTATTGTTTTTTATAAAAAGACAAAGACAATTGGAAATAAAGTCATCTTACCCACCCCACACATCTAAGCAATGCTCATGTGAATCATGCCACAGGTACTGCTATCCAATTTCCAAAGTGTCCAAGGAAAGAGATTCTAGAACTTTTCACTACAGGGTCTTCAGTAGCCATAAAGACCTGCCAGTGGGCAAAGTGTAAGGAATCAGACAAACCAAAACTTGAACTCAAATACCTGGTTTTGTGTGGCTTGCTCCATCCAGCTTCTCAGCTGCCAAAGTCACGGGTACCACATCTGCCTTCAGCTCTTCCCTGCCATCAGTGTCCACGTCTTTCACTATGATGTTCACATTCACCTTCTGACCAGCCCTGGGCTTCACTGCTGGGTTAGCGTGCTTCCAGAAACGCTGTTTCAAGGCTTCCAGTTCTAGATCCAAAGACCAACCAGTATGTCAGTTTGCCATGCTTAAACTCTTTCCTTTAAGATTCCAGTTAAGAATCACAAGCTAAGTTTTTAAGCTCAACAAAGTTGCAGCGGGAAAAAAAACACCCAAAGACACCAAAAACTCCTTTGCTACTAACACCTATGTCAAATTCATATTCATATAACTTAACCAAACTAATGAAATGCTGCAATTGTTCCTCCTCAATATACTTCAAAAATCATTTTAGGGTAGGGGCGCCTAGGTGACTCAGTCGGTTAAACGTCTGCCTTCAGCTCAGGTCATGATACCAGGGTCCTGGGATCGAGCCCCACGTCAGGTTCCCTGCCGCTCTGCCTTCTTGTACTATCTGTCAAATAAATAAATAAAATCTTAAAAAAAATCATTTTAGGGTAGAAATTTATAATTGAAGTTTCTAAATGTATGCAATTCTTTTTTTTCATTTTTAAAATTTAAATTCAATTAACATATAATGTATTAGTTTCAGATAAATGTATGCAATTCTTTCTTTTTTAAGATTTATTTATTTATTTATTTGAAAGAGAGAGAATGAGAGAGAGAGAGCACATGAGGGGGGGAGGGTCAGAGGGAGAAGCAGACTCCCTGCTGAGCAGGGAGCCCAATGCGGGACTCGATCCCGGGACTCCAGGATCATGACCTGAGCCGAAGGCAGTTGCTTAACCAACTGAGCCACCCAGGCGCCCCTAAATATATGCAATTCTTTTTTTCTTTTTAAAGATTTTTTTATTTATTTGAGAGAGAGTGAGAGAGAGAGAGCACATGAGAGGGGGGAGGGTCAGAGGGAGAAGCAGACTCCCTGCTGAGCAGGGAGCCCGATGCGGGACTCGATCCTGGGACTCCAGGATCATGACCTGAGCCGAAGGCAGTCGCTTAACCAACTGAGCCACCCAGGCGCCCAGTGTGCAATTCTTAAAAAAAAGTATTAAACTGGTAGAACCAACACCATAATTATCAGTCATTCAATGGCTTAATTTTTCATAGATTCCAGCCTCTTTTTTAAAATTTCCCTATTTTGAACATTTCACTATTAATTAGCAATCTTACTAAATATGGGCAAGGTCCATTTAAAAAAAGGAAAAAAAAATTACAATCCATCCAATCAGTGATATAACTCAGCAGCAGGACTGGAAAAGTCTGTTGGTGAAACTGTTACACTAGCCTAATCAGTATCATCAGAAAGGAAATCCTGCTTACAGGTGGCCTCTATACACACACGCAACTTGCATACAAAGGGGAATATACATACTGGGAGCAGTAAGTTCAGTGGCCTGACAGCAATAGGGCCTCTCCCCACTTCCCCATTGCTACAGTAGCTCAGAATTTCTTCCTCCTCTCTCCCTTAGCTAGCTGCTACCTGGCACCATCACCTAATGCCTCTGTTTAAGACATCATACCATAGTGGGTTGTTTTAAGAGAGTGACAGTTATGGGGCGCCTGGGTGGCTCAGTCGTTAAGCGTCTGCCTTCAGCTCAGGTCATGATCCCAGGGTCCTGGGATCGAGCCCCACATCAGGCTCCCTGCTCCGCGGGGAAGGGTGCTTCTCCCTCTCGTACTCCCCCTGCTTGTGTTCCCTCTCTCACTGTGTCTCTCTCTGTCAAATAAATAAATAAAATCTTTAAAAAAAAAAAAAGAGAGCTGACAGTTATAAAGAGAAAAGATTCCTTTGGGGTTGAGGGATCTAGATATCTTCACGTGCCTTCTCTTCCATATAAAATGTCCAGAACACTCCAAGTTTGGTTCTTTTTCTAAAATGCACTCAAATTGTATTTTAGTAGTTTTGGGGTTAGCATCTAGATGTGGTTTTTCCTTCCCTAGAAGGGAACAGAAGAACTGGAAGGAAACCTTTTCATTCTGAGTCCCTAGCATTATTAGTAGCAAAAATCCAGCTCCAAAGGATAGTATGTTTACATGACAAACAGATGTGTAGGGAGAGAAGATGTAAGTTTGCACCCGCTTTTATAGCAGTTCAGTAAGGCTGGAAGCAATGGGGAAATGGAAATGGAACGGTAACAGAAATAAGCAGGTCATTATTGGCACCAACAGAATAAAACAAATGGATGTGGAAGAAGATTTGCTTGGGACCTAAAATAATAGTGAGGCAGAGGAGTTGCCTTCGTTCTTCTGGAGAAAGTCAGGCTCCTTAAAGCTCTTCATCTCCAACACACCTGGGCACCTACTTTCCTTGCCTTTTACTACATGACTCAACCATCTCCCCCCCACCCTAGAATCCCTGTTCAAGCTCCTGTCCCTCCATCAGTCTTTGTCCAGCTCCATTCATGTCTGCTCTAAATATGGGCAAGGTCCAGTTTTGCCCAGTTCTCCACCGGCAGCAGCTTGAATCTAAAACTGTTCTCATTCCCATTGTTCTTAGTCCAGAAAGTAGAGGAATTAAGGGCAGAGATTACCTACACTATTGCAGGAAGCAGGAGTCCTACATTTCTGGCACCCCAAAGTTGAGATCTACGTGCCTTTTCTCATGGAAACCTTATTCTATGTGAGGTTAAGGAAACTAAGCTGTTCCTACTGCTTTTACTCTTAACCCTTTCCCCTGTCCACCCTACTAGCCACCAGATTGAACTTCCCAAAATGACTATCTGATTGGGTCATTTCCTTTGCTAAAAATCTGTCAGTGGTCCTCTGCTAACAAAAGGCGAAAGTCCAAGCTCCTCCCATGGCCTAAAAGCCCTGCGAGATCTGGCCTCTGGTTACCCATCCTCAATGCCTTTGCAATCTTCACTCCAGTTCACCAGAACACCCAGTGCTCTCTTGTCACCATTGGGTCGTTTGCGGGTCTGTTCCCTCCACCAAGAATGCCCTCCCTCAGCTCTCTGCTTTGGTATGTCCTACTCGGCTTTCAGGACTCAGCTCTGGTATCGGTTCCTTTCAGAAGCTTCCCTGACTCCCCACGAGGTATTCCAAGGGAGGTACCCTTCCTCTAGGTTCAGAGTATACCCAGCCCTTACCATCCAGTTGTGTTGTAATGGTCTGTGTACCTGCCTGTCACTCTTACTAGACTTTAACTTCCTTAAGAGCAGGGACTGTGTCTTGTGTACACAGCATCCGACACAATGCTAGAAAAAAGTTTATTGCACAGATAAATAAAAGTCGATCCTAAGTTCATACATATGGAACTGGCTGGCATGGAAACCCAACTTTCACGTCAAATACTATTTCTGAAGGAAAACATATTTTGAGTTAAAAATAAAGGCCTATGGCGGCGCCTGGGTGGCTCAGTTGGTTGGGCGACTGCCTTCTGCTCAAGTCATGATCCTGGAGTCTCGGGATTGAGTCCCGGGATCGAGTCCCACATCGGGCTCCCTACTCAGCGGGGAGTCTGCTTCTCCCTCTGACCCTCTTCCCTCTCGTGCTCTCATTCTCTCTCTCAAATAAATAAAATCTTTAAAAAAATAAATAAAAAAATAAAGGCCTACGACATGCCAGGCACTGTGCTAGTTCCCTATATAAGCCAAGTGTAATGTTGGAAAAATGACCCAACCTCTCCAAGTCTCCATCTCTTCACTGCAAAATAATACCTGGGGCTGTGAGAATTAAGAACAATAATAGAGAATCTATCAGTGTCTGATGTACTAGGTACTCAAAAAAAAAGGTTTCTTCCCTTTCCTGTCTCAGTCCAGAACCATTTAGAGAGCTTCAAATCCCAAATAAAAAAAAAAAAACTCACAGTAGCTAGAATTTTAAGTATTTAAGAAATGTTTCCTCCCCCTCTCTTACTCTGAGACTGTTTAGATAATTTCTAGTCCCACATGACGAAACTTTCCCTCCGTGTTCTGGGCAACAGCTTATTCCCCTGCTTCTTTGCTAATGGAGCTATGCTGGTTCTGTTACACAACCATTTCACTCGCTCTGGTCAAACGGACTTATCCATCCTCCCCATATGCACCATGCAGAGCTTGCTCTGTCCCTTCCAAGAATGTCCTCTCCACTTCCAAAAAGCCCACCGCTTCAATCAGCAAAGACTCACTGGGCATAATTTACACACTAGATACTGTGGATGACAAGAGCACTTGCCAACCATAAGCTGTTATGGTTACGATGTAAGTAATTTCACTAATAATAGAACTAGGAGGGCGCCTGGGTGGCTCAGTTGGTTGAGCGACTGCCTTCAGCTCGGGTCATGATCCTGGAGTCCCGGGATCGAGTCCCGCATCGGGCTCCCTGCTCAGCGGGGAGTCTGCTTCTCCCTCTGACCCTCTTCCCTCTCGTGCTCTCTGTCTCTCATTCTCTCTTTCTCAAATAAATAAATAAAATCTTAAAAAAAAAAAAAAAAGAACTAGGAGCCACTATTTGAGTGCTTCCTTATGCTATCTATTTCTCTGCCTTATTTCAACACATCTTCACTATAGCTCTGAGAACTGGTTTTTTTTTTTTCCTTAAAAAAAGATGGCTCGAGAGCTCAAATAGCACACTCAAGGTTAAACAGTGAGTAGCACAGTCCAGATTCAAACCTTGGTCTTGCTACAGAGCCTAAGCTTTTAATTATCATGCCATACTGCCTCAATTCAGAGGAGGAAACACCCAATTCTACCTAATAGTCAGGAAATCTACCTAATATGGTAATATTTGAACTCTGTCTTGAAGGATCATTCATTCATTCCCTCATCCAATATAAACGCCTGTAATACGTCATCCACTGTGGAAGCACTGGTGATAGAGTAGGAATAAGCCAGAAGATCCCTATTCACAGTATAAAGGGAAAGGCAGTGAACAAGTAATTACATCCACCTACTCTTCAAGCCTTCTTTTAACCACCTATTGGAAGAAATTAATTCTTCCTCTAAACTGCCACAGCACTTTATTCTAAATGTTTCCTTCAGCAAAGACTACTTTTCACTTTCCTTCATTTTTTCCAATCATCAGTGACACACGTTCATTATAGATGTCACTTTCCACCTTCTCTCTTGCATTACTGTTATTTGCATACTTATCTCCCCTACAAGAGTCTAAGTAGCTTAAATGTACAATAAACGTCAGATTGCTCTTGGTATGCCCTACAGAACCTCGCATGTCGTGGATAGCTTAATATTTGTTAAATGAGTGGGGGAAGAAAGAAATTCAGTTTTGCAGACAATTTATTGAACCAAAATGTTTCCCTTTAACGGTGAAAAAATGAATAATGCTTTTTTGCATGTCATACCATAATACAACAGCGATGCACCTTTTTTGTATACTAACCTGTCAACAGGCTTCCATTTTAAACAAGGTTAAGAACACTCTGATGCCCTGCCAAATTTATCTAAATAGAATTTTATCCATATGTGGTACATCTACAGAATAGGATCACATGTGGTTACGGGTTCCTCCTGGGTTCCCTATCCTCCATAGTAGCAAATAATAGAAAGGTGCCAGAATAAACTACTCTGGAGGCTTCCCACAATTCAAAGGATTACCTCTGTTGGTTTCAGGCTCTTCAAGTATCACAAAGGAATCCTCATCAGCACCCAGTCGAGGTTTAATGGAAACATCTATCCCCAGTTGCTTCAGTCTATCCAGAGTGAATCTCCTCACTTTTTCAGGTGGCACAATTATTGATTTAGTTTGCTGCCCAGACTCCTCCACCTTCTCATCTCCTTCTTCTGTTTTCTTCAGGCCTTCTTCTCCTTCTAGAGCATGAGGTTCAGGTGCCACAAGCCTTCCAGCCTGATACTCCTCATTGTCCTCATTCCCAAGGAAGCTGGATTCCTGTTGTGCCACGGAGCTGTCCTCGGGTGAAGGTCTATCATCACTCTGCTTCTGTTTCTCCTGAATTTCTTGTTCTTCACTTCCCATCAAGTCCTTACTGCAAGACTCATCTGATCCAGTAGTGATCTGGGGTTCCTGTGAAGCTGCAGGGAGTGCATTAATTTCCATTTCATATCCTGCACCTGTTGTCTGCTCAGAATCTTTGCTATGGTGGTCATTATTCTTCTCACTTGTATTTGCAGTGTCTGTGGTTTCTTTGGGATGGCTTGACTGATACTTAGATGACCTAGAAAAGGGAAAATGAGCTGAAGTTCAAAATCACCCTAAGTGTGAAACACTCATCTCAGCACATAATGATATCAGTTAAATCGGTTTTACGAGAGGGAGGAATCTGAACTTTTTACATCAGATGTTTGTTACAAAACTGAATATTTACAAAAATTATAATCACAAGGAAAGAGAGTTCTTACTTCAGTAGTGCCATAGCATTTCCCTGGCAAGTGGGTCGGGGTTTACGTTTGAAGAAATCATGAATGGTTTTATTCTCCGGCATATGATATGGAAGATTAAGTGCAGACTCTATAAAATGGAACAAAACAAGCAAATACATACACTGTATATTCTGAAATGTCACTTCATATTCAGTTAACTAAACAGTACAGTGAAAGCCATCACCAGAAACAGAAAGCAATCTGGCTTTAATAAAGACGGGATCTAAGTACAAAAGAACTCCCTGAAGACCAGTGGCTTTTTTTTTTTTTTTTAAGATTTTATTTATTTATTTGTCAGAGAGAGAGAGAGAGCACAAACGGGGAGGTGGCAGGCAGAGGGAGAAGCAGGCTCCACACTGAGCAAGGAGCCCGATGCGGGACTCGATCCCAGGACCCTAGGATCATCACCTGAGCCGAACGCAGCCGCTTAACCGACTGAGCAACCCAGGTGTCCCGACCAGTGGCTTTTAAACCTAGCTGTGAAATCAAACTAATCCAGGAAGTTTTTTAAAAATACAGATTCTTGGGGCACCTGGGTGGCTCAGTCATTAAGCGTCTGCTTTTGGCTCAGGTCATGATCCCGGGCTCCTGGGATCGAGCCCCACATCGGGCTCCCTGCTCAGCAGGAGGCCTGCTTCTCCCTCTCCCACTCCCCCCGCTTGTGTTCCCTCTCTCACTGTGTCTCTCTCTGTCAAATAAATAAATAAAATCTTGGGCACCTGGGTGGCTCAGTTGGTTAAGTGACTGCCTTCGGCTCAGGTCATGATCCTGGAATCCCAGGATCGAGTCCCACATCGGGCTCCCTGCTCAGCAGGGAGGCTGCTTCTCCCGCTGACCCTCTTCCCTCTTGTGCTCTCTATCTCTCATTCTCTCTCTCTCAAATAAATAAATAAAATCTTTAAAGAAAATAAATAAGATCTTTAAAAATAATAAAAAAATAAAAATACAGATTCTTGGGGTGCCTGGGTGGCTCAGTGGGTTAAGCATCTGCTGTCGGCTCAAGTCATGATCCCAGGGTCCTCAGTAGAGATTCTGCTCCTCTCTCTCTCCCTCTGCCCCTCCCTCCCCCACCACCCCTACCCCCCTCATGCTCTTTCTCCCTCTCAAAAAAAAAAAGTTTAAAAAAATACATATTCTTGGACCCCACTTCGAACCAATTGAATCAGAATTTCTGTGGACCTAAGAACTTACACATTTGAAATGTTCCCAAAGGGATCCTGATACAGCCAGTCCATAGAAAACCATTAAAAAAAACCCTCCCTCCTTACCACTAATACAGTTCTGGAAATTTTCTCAGTTTACACTAATGTTCGAGGGGCTTTAGAACAATGGCCATTCACCAAGATCAACTCTAAACTTATTATAATTCATACTAGGAGTGTTAAAAACATAAAAATCCCTCTTGGGGAACCCAGCTAACTCAGTTGGAAGAGCATGTGACTCTTAATCTCAGGGTCCTGAGTTCAAGCCCCACATTTGGTGTAGAAATTACAAAAAAAAAATTCTAGGGGCTCTTGGGTGGCTCAGTTGGTTAAGCATCTACCTTTGGCTCAGGTTGTGATCTCAGAGCCCTGTGTCAGGCTCCCTATTCAGTGGGGAGTCTGCTTCTCCCCCTGCCCCACCCCCGACTCGTGCAGGCACTCCCTCTCTCTCAAATAAGTAAAATCTTAAAAAAAAAAAAATCCCCAACAGCTAAGTTGAGCTTACAAAGAACTATTGTGATTTGCCTTAAAGTTACTATAGTGGTTTACATTACCTCGAATAAGGCGCTGAGTTTCACTATGCAGTTTTTTTAATGCTTCCTTACTTAATCTGGCTGCCTTCCTTTCCTTAAAGAAAACAAAAAGTGAGACTACATTAATGCTATTATCCAGAAAGATATTCATGCTTCAAGAGTTTGCCCTCTCCAAGAAAAGATGGAGAAAGAAAAGTAAGCACTAATAAGTTCAGTACAATAGAAACTCAAGGAGATCATTTATTTTGCATATCATATAGAATTAACTCAACAAAATCCATATTTGTGTCCCTACTATGTACAAAGCAATATCTTGGGTACCAGGAAAATATGATAGATATGATAAAATATTTATCCCTCAGAAATTCACAATCTCCTGGGGAAAGAAATCAACATGATAATTATATAGAGCTCCATCTCACCTTCCTCATGGTGCCTTTCGATAACTCAGTTTCTTCTTCAAATGGACATACCCCACCCTCCAAAGACAGTTCCTTTTTCTAAAAGAGAAGATGACAAGTTGAAAAATATGGACAAAAATTAAATTGAAGGGGTGCCTTGGTGGCTCAGTAAGTTAAGCAACCAACTCACAATTTCAGGTCATGATCTCATGGGTCATGGGATCTAGCCCTGTGTGGGGCTCCGTGCTGAGCGGGGAGTCTGCTTGGGATTCTCTCTCTCTGCCCCTCCCCCCACTTGAGCTTGATCGCTCTCTCTCTAAAGGAAATAAATAAATATTTTATAAAAAAAATTAGGGGTGCCTGGGTGGCTCAGTCAGTTAAGCGGCTGCCTTCGGCTCAGGTCATGATCCCAGGACCCTGGGATCAAGCCCCACGTCAGGCTCCCTGCTCAGAGAGAGCCTGCTTCTCCCTCTCCCTCTGCCTGCCGCTCTGCCTACCTGTGCTCTCTCTGTCTCTCTGTCAAACAAATAAAATAAATAAAATCTTTAAAAAAATAAACTAAATAAAAAAATAAACTGAAATAACAGGATATTGCCTACTCAGAAGATTGCTTCTGTATCCCAACATCACATCATTGTTAATAACAAGCCAGTAATTATCAAATAGAAAGTTTTAAACCTACAACACCCATATAAAGCCTAGAAAAAAATTTGCTGTCTCAAATGGAGCTTGGGCTCTCATTTCTTACACTTCTTTATTGTATCTTTCCCTAAGGAGGGACAATGACTCCCAGGGAGCTAAAGATAATCTTAGCAAGAACAGAACAACTGTTTCCAAACACTCAGGACAATGATGTTTGACTGTTGTTTCTCTTTGATACCTTTCCAGAAACACTTTAGGTTCATTTCATAGAGGCCACAGGATTATAAAATTTGTATCTCTGCCCCATTACTTACCTGCTTCTTATACAATACAAAGTATCTCACGTTTTTTTCCCTTAACATTCCTATGAAGGCAGTCATAATACTAGCTTTTTGGGGCGCCTGGGTGGCTCAGTTGGTTAAGCATCTGCCTTCGGCTCAGGTCATGATCCCAGGGTCCTGGGATCGAGTCAGGCTCCCTGCTCGGCAGGGAGCCTGCTTCTCCCTCTACCCCCTGCTCATGCTCTCTCTTTCGTGATCTCTCTCTCTCAAATAAATAAATAAAATCTTAAAAAAAAAAAAAAAATACTAGCTTCCACACAAGTTAGCATGTCTATCACCGGTACTGCCTGATTCCAAAATTAACAGCCAAAAAACTTAAATCAATTGCCACATTTTTTTTTCCAGTTAAAAAAAAAGGTTCCAACAGTAAATTAGAAAATAAAGCAAAGGTTAGAAGCAGTGGGTTAGCTCTTTTGCAATCATCTACTTGCCTTGTGCTTTTTTACTTTGTTTTTCACAGCTGCCCTTATTGATTCTAATGACTCTTCATCTTCCAATGCAGAGTTATTTTCCTCCTCTTCCTCCTCCTCCAGCCCAGTTTCAAAAAGGTCTTTATCCATAAGAAGACAGCCACTGTCATTAAATGGCTGTTTCACATCATCTTCCTGGACAATGCATAAAGGAAAAACAAAATCCAATCACCCAAACTCCAATATTTCACAACATCATAAGGTAATTTTGATCAGGCCATAAAAAGCCCATATTACATCAGTGGACACATTTATGGCATTCTAGAACATTCTCCCTGGTTCCTACCCACAGTCATCCTTTGAGGTCCATGCTGTGATTTTACTGTCCCAAACCAACTTAATAACAGTATATATATTTTTTGAAAAGTCAATTAAATACTTATTAGGCAAATACTTCATAAAACTTGAGGATGGTTTCTCTAGTTAGCAAACAAGACTTGACTTATGGATACCTAAAAAATTCTCCTCTGAAAGTTAATTTTCATCAAATCAGAGGCAGCAATTACTCCAACGTGCTCAAAAAGAAAATCAGAAGCCTATTTATTTGGAAGTGTCCCCTGTTTATCCAAAATGGAGAATGAGAACAACAAGTTTTAAATTACATATCTCATTTACTCGCAGTGCAAGAGTCTACTCAAAGCTATATTCTGAGTGCAGAAACCTCAAGAACTAAACGCAACTTTTTCTAAGATGTTAAGTTCATCTGCCTTAGAAAGAACAAATTTATTCTTTTAAATATACCTCATTTTTTGTTTCCTTCTTTTTTAGTTGCCTGATTTTTTTCATCTTTTTTTCCTCTTTCTCAAGTCTTCTCTTTGATTTTACCTTTCCTTCAATTCCTTCTTTATCACATTTGGGTTTTTTGGAAATCTTTCTGTCAACTGTGAAGTCCACAGAGTTTTCAGATTGGAGACTCCGCTGCAAGCAAGGCATCACCCGAGTTTCAAGATTTTCCTGACACAAAGACTCCTCAATGTCACTTCCAGCACTGTCCGCCAGAGTTTTGTAAATCCTTCGGACTTTTCCATTTCTTCCAGCGTATAAATTCTCTTTATTTTCCTCCTCGACACTGTCATAGGGAGTTTTCTCTGGAGAGGCATTTGTGTCCTCTCTCTCAGACTCACTGTCTTGTAGCACCTTCCTGCTTTTTAATTTCTTACTCACGAATATCTCTTCATCTGAATCTGCAGGAAACATAATTTTTTTAGAGGCCTACTGTCATCTGGCCCTCCTCCTAGTCCCACTGCTCCTCAAAAACATCCAATTATCCGAGTGCTATGTCACCACGTGAAATTATGTAACTACCACTAAGAACTGATTGTAGCAAAGCAAATCTAAAAACAGGTTTTGAAAAACATTTTCCCTGGAAAAATGTCTCTTACTGAGAAATATAATTATATATATTTACAAAGTGTAAAGTTGTTCTAATTCTTCTGGCAGGTGTTAAAAATCCTTTTATTAAAGGATGAATGCATTCAACGAGGCAGTGGTAGCTTCTAGACATTTTATATATTTTATTCAATAACATAATAGAAACGGTTAATGTCAAAAGGGTACAAGCACTATTATTTTGTTTTTATAATAAGACAATTAGGTCAGACATTAATAATTTAACGAACCAAGAGAATAATGAAATTAATCCAATCTATTCTATCCCTAAAAATAAAATCACTATTACAAACCTCCGTCACTCAGGGGCACAATTGTTTCACTGCCTTGTCCACTGTCTGAAGGGCTATCGGCTTCTTCCTGTGAAATGAGCTTTGGATCACTGATTTCTAGGTGAACCTAGAAAATAAGAACATACTTTGCATTAACCAGCTGCTGACAAAAAGCTCTAAGTACATAATGACACACAAATCATAGGATCGTAAGGCTGAAGGAAAACACCAACATAATTGTTCAATGAAGGGATGACATTAAGAATTACTGGATAAGGGGCACCTGGTTGGCTCACTCGTTAAGCGTCTGCCTTCGGCTCAGGTCATGATCCCAGGGTCCTGGGATCGAGCCCCACATCGGGCTCCCTGCTTGGCGCGAAGCCTGCTTCTACCTCTCCCTCTCCCCCTGCTTGTGTTCCCTCTCTTGCTGTGTGTCTCTGTCAAATAAATAAATAAAATTAAATTAAATTTAAAAAAATTACTGGACAATGGGCACCTGGCTGGCTTGGTTCAGTAGAGCATGTGACTCTTGATCTCAGGGTTGTGGGTTTGAGCCCCACAATGGGTGTAGAGATTATTTAAAAATAAAGTCTGAAAAAAAAAAAGAATTACTGGGCAAAAAAACACAAAAATTCATTGTTCACCTTTGAAGAATGCTATAGAACCAATGCTTTATTTTGAGTAATAGTACCTAAACAAAAAGAATCAAGCATTTATTACATGTTTTTTGTTTGAACTGCTTCTCAGTGTACCCAAATGACATGTTAAATAACATCACAGAGATGCATCCAGATGTGAAAAACTCTATAGAACAAACAATGTGTTTCCTTAATAGTAAACTGCAAGAAAAAAAGAGGAGGGAGGAGTTAAGATACATATATACACACACATTATCAACAATTGTAATATGCAGGCTTTGGATTCTGATTCAAATAAACTGAAAGTATACATATGAGTCAATGAAATCTCAACACTAGCTAGATATTTAGTATTAAGCAACAATTCTAAATTTTTTAGGTGTGGTAATAATATTTGTGATTATCTGTTTTGGAAAGCCCTTATCTTAGAGATGCATAATGAAATATTTGTGGATGAAATGAAGTCTGGAATTTGCTTCCAAATAATCCAGTGAGGGGGAAAGTGAGTGGGACTATACATGAAACAAAATTGGCATGATTTGATTAACTGTTGAAGTTAGGTGACAGGTTCATTATACCAGCCTTTCTATGTTTCTCTCTGTTTGAAATTTTCCAAATAAAACCATTTTAAAAGTCCTAAGTAAAAAATAATAAGTAGTACGGGTGTGTTTTTAGGTGACTTGGCCAGGTAGTGTGACCAGGCTGATCCTAGAGGCCAGATCTCCTACATCCTTGGTGTCCTTAGGGCTCTGAATGGACTTAAATAGGGGGGTAAATACCAACATCTGTAAAGTAGTAGGGCACTACCCACCTTAATGGTTTCTCAAACAACTATTAAATTGATTTAAATGTTTGGTATAATTATTTAAATAATAACCAAAGGTAACAGGTACTGAGGAATCACTAAGGATCATCACGCATGTGCTGATGATTCTCCCAACAATCCAAAGCAGTAAGATTTTTTTTTTGTGGATGCAGAAACTGAATTTAGGTAACCACATAACTCAATACATGGTGATGCTCTTAATCACTTTATTCTAGGAAATTTGTACCAATATCAGCAACAGTCAGGGTCAGGAACACCGCGAGGACAGAGTCGAGTCTTAAAAACCTCAGTAATCAAGATAATATCTTAGTGCAATATTAAAAAAAATCAAATTGATAAACTATGGCTCATGAAGTCACCCAACTACTTTTGTAAATAAAGTTTTATTGAAAACAGGGCCAGGATCAGGGGAGGGTGAGATGTAGCGCAACCGCAGGGTTTTGCTTTAATTTTTATTTAAAAAAATACTGCATTAAAATACTATCTTAATTACTGAGTTTTTGGGAGCTCTCTTAAATTTTGCTCCCAAGGCTAGTGTCTCACCCTACTCCCGGCCCCAGGAAAGAACATGGGTCTGGAATCATCTGCTTCTATGCCCAATCCCGCCAGCGATCAGCCAGCCACCAGCCGGGAAGCCCAGAGACTGCTACGTGTCTCGGGGTCCCGTGCATGACCTCAAAGTCCCCTTGCACACTCAATTCCGAATTCCCAGAGACTCCCGCCGTCCATTTCCGGGGAACCCCGCCCCGCAACCCAGCGGCCCAGGTCAGCCTGGGCCTTCCTCTGTTTTGGGGACCTGAACAAGGAAGAGCCCCGGCGGCAGGAAACGCGCCAAAGGGGAGGCCGGACGGGCGGGGCCCGCTGAGGAACCGCTGGGCAGCCGGCTGCGCGCGCCGCAGGGGCCACAAGCGACGCGGCCAAGCGCACCGAGGGGCGGGAAGCCCCGCGCGCGACTGGACCACAGAGTCGCGAGCCCACCGGGCCGCAGGGGCATCCCGCCAGACCCGACCGCGCGCCGCCACGGTGCACGCCGGGATCTGTAGTCCTCCCATCCTCGGCGACCCGCTCCGCCCGGCTAGACCCCTACCCAACCTCGCCCCACCGCGCCAGGCCTCTGTAGCTGCGGATGGCGGCCTATGTACGAACTCACCTCAGAAACCACTTCGCGGGTCATGACTCCGGCTTCCCCGGCGCTTTGCTGTAACGGAGCAGGTCTCCGGTTCTCTTAGCCGGGGTACAGCTGCTCCCGCGGTCTCCAGTCAGGCAACACTGTTCGAGCTTTCGCGCCCAGCCAGAGTGGAGGCCCCGCCCTAAGGATTCGCGCCAATCCGGAGGAGTCTTTCTCATGAGGCCACGCCCTCCACACTGTCCTACCAATCACGATGCGCCTTCGGCCAGTCCCGCAAGTATAATCTGGGTTGGGTTGGCGGGTCCCTGCTCTTCCAGTCAATTGAAACTAAGGGAGTTTGGGGGTGTCCCGTTTACGGGTCGGAGGGGCCCTCTGGCCTTGCAAGGCGGTACCAGGCGAGTGGTGGCCTTTGACCTTTGGCCCTTGCCGCAGCGCATTTTGAGGGGTAAGCCCTCCAAGCGGGAAGTGAGCAGGAAGAAGGTCCCAGGGCAACCGAAGGCACCTGTGGGGATTTTCTCCGGGACCTCCATCCCTGGAACAGCTAGATCCTACCGGCTCCTTCTTGTACGTAGCATTCATGCCACTGAACATCGACAAAGAAAAGTTTTATGGGCTGCTCAGATACCAAAGAATATCCTTAGATAGCCTTTATAATTTTATTTAAAGTTAATCTAGGGGCGCCTGGGTGGCTCAGTTGGTTAAGCGACTGCCTTCGGCTCAGGTCATGATCCCAGGGTCCTGGGATCGAGCCCCGCATCGGGCTCCCTGCTCGGCGGGAAGCCTGCTTCTCCCTCTCCCACTCCCCCCGCTTGTGTTCCCTCTCTCTCTCTCTCAATTAAATAAATAAAATCTTTAAATAAATAAATAAATAAATAAATAAAGTTAATCTAAGGGACCCCTGGGTGGCTCAGTCGGTTCAGCATCTGCCTTCGGCTCAGGTCATGATCCCAGGGTCGTGGGATCGAGTCCCACGTCTGGCTCCTTGCACAGCAGGGAGCCTGCTTCTGCCCTCTTGCGGGCGCGCGCGCGCCCTCTCTCAGGCCAATAAATTAAATAAATAAGGAAGGAAGGAGGGAAGGAAAGAAGGAAGGAAGGAAGGAAGTTAATTTGAGGACGTCTGGGTGGCTCAGTGGGTTAAGCGTCTGCCTCGGCTCATGTCCTGGGATCAAGCCCTGCATTGGGCTCCAAGTCAGCTTCTCCCTCTACTCCTCCCCCTGCTTGTGCTCTCTCTCTCTCAAATAAATAAATAAAATCTTTTTAAAAAATAAGGTTAATTTGAGGTTACAGAAAACAACTACCAGTCCATCCTTAGACAAGGCAAGAAAAAAGAATAAAATGTCTGGAGTCAGACTAATGCCAGGCAATTCTAATCCCTTGTCATTATGCTGGTTACTATCTTTTCCCTCTGCGGGTCCATTCTCTATCATTCCTTACCCTGCTCTGTCCAGGCAAGGCTGACTTCTCCCCACTGCATTACCCAAGCTCCCTTCACCTCTGGCTTCTGGTTGAGTCAAGCTCCTGGAAAGTACTTTACAATATTACTGTAAGGAGATCAGAGAGCACCAAGAAAGAAAGGCCACAGTAGTTACTTCACTCTCATGAGCCTATCCCCTGGTAGGTGACCAACTCGTCCCAATTTTCCCAGGACATTCCCAGTTTTAGCATTGAAAATACCACGTCCCGAGATACTCAGTCCCAGGCAAACCAGGATAGTTAGTTACCTTATCCACTGGCCTCGTCTTCCAAGTTTCCAGCTTTAGCTGGGTTCAGATAAAGTTCTTTCCTCATCTTTATTTCTTTACCTCCTCACCACTTCTCAACTCACTTTTGCCCCCCGCCCCAAGATCCCATTATCCATCTTCTTCTTTCCCATCTGTCTAGCCACATTTCCACCCACTTCACTATTTCTACATTGATGATTTCCAAATATACATCTATAGCACTCCTCCTTCATATATGGGGGGCTAACATTTATCGGGGGCTTACCCTGAGACAGAAACAGTTGCAAGAATTTTGCAAACATCTTATTTAGCTTTCAGAGTAAATTTGTAAGGTAAGTAATATATTATCTCCATTTTAGCAGGGGACTAAATCTTTAAAAGCTAATAACTGGTGGAGCCAATATTCACACCCTGCTCAATCTGACTCCAGAGCTCATACTCCTAAGGGAGACTTTGCCTGAGCCCCTTCTCCATTCTCCCTCCATCCCCTGTTCTGCTTTTCCCAATAACATCTCTGCCTGAAATTTTATTTTTATCTATTTGGATATTGTTGCTCCAAGAGGACAAGCACTTTGTTTCCTTTAACACCATATCCTCACTATCTAGAATAGTTGTTCTCCAACTTGAGCATGCATCGGAATGATCTGAAGAGCTGGTAGAAAGGTTGTTGAACCCCACTACCAGAGTTTCTGATTCAGTATGTCTGATGTGAGGCCCGAGAATTTTCTTTTTTTTTTTAAGATTTTTAAAACATTTATTTATTTAAGAGAGAAAGCAAGAGAGCACAAGTGGAGTGGGGGAAGGGGCAGAGGGAGAAGCAGGCTCCCAGCTGAGCAGGGAGCCTGACACAGGGCTGGATCCCAGGACCCCGGGATCATGACCCAAAACCAAGGCAGACGCTTAATCAGCTAAGCCACCCAGGAGCCCCAAGGCCCGAGAATTTTCATTTCCAACAAGTTCCCAGATGATGCTAAAGCTGCTGATATGGAGAGCACACTTTAAGAACCAAGGGCATAGAACATACCTGGCTCATGGTAGCAAATCAATATTTGTTGAACTAATTCGGTCACTTGACAACTATACTATTCTTGAACTCCCTTTGGAAGTGAATAAATGAGATAATACTCCTGATATTAGCATTTTCAGAAGTAATTAGCATTTTCCTTTCTTTGAAAAACACCTATTTAATCACCAGAGAAACAAAGAGAGCTCTGATTTGGACAATGAACGGAATGAGTGAGTTAGGAAGGGGAAACATTTTACTCTATACATTAACTTCTGTTAATCTAAAATGAGTCTGATTTCTACAAAGAAGACATCCAAATGTCCAAAAGACACATGAAAAAGTGCTCAGTATCACTCGGCATCAGGGAAATCCAAATCAAAACCTCAATGAGATACCACCTCACACCAGTCAGAATGGCTAAAATTAACAAGTCAGGAAACGACAGATGTTGGCGAGGATGCAGAGAAAGGGGAACCCTCCTACACTGTTGGTGGGAATGCAAGCTGGTGCAGCCACTCTGGAAGACAGTATGGAGGTTCCTCAAAAAGTTGAAAATAGAGCTACCCTACGACCCAGCAATTGCACTACTGGGTATTTACCCCAAATATACAAATGTAGAGATCCGAAGGGGCAAATGCACCCCAAGTTTATAGCAGCAATGTCCACAATAGCCAAACTATGGAAAGAGCCTAGATGTCCATCAACAGATGAATGGATAAAGAAGATGTGGTATATATATACAATGGAATATTATGCAGCCATCAAAAAACGAAACCTTGCCATTTGCAATGATGTGGATGGAGCTAGAGGGTATTATGCTAAGCGAAATAAGTCAATCAGAGAAAGATAAGTATCATATGATCTCACTGATATGAGGAATTTGAGAAACAAGACAGAGGATCATAGGGGAAGGGAGGGAAAAATGAAACAAGACAAAACCAGAGAGGGAGACAAACCATAAGAGACTCAATCTCAGGAAACAAACAGAGGGTTGCTGCAGTGGAGGGGGGTGGGAGGGATGGGGTGGCTGGGTGATGGACATTGGGGAGGGTATGTAGTATGGTGAGCACTGTGAATTGTGTAAGACTGATGAATCACAGACCTGTACCCTTGAAACAAATAATACATTATATGATAATTAAAAAATTAAAAATAAATAAATAAAGCAAGTCTGTATTTGGAATTAGCAATCTATATTCTCAATTTTGGTTGTTGGCAACATAATCCATCACTCACCAATTTAGAAACCTGGGAGTCACCTTGACTGTTCTCTGTCTCTTGACTCTCAAGGTTAATCATCCAACAAGCTCTGTTTATGAGGTTGATGGTAGCAAGGGAAATCTCTGCAGTGTTCACTTTGCAGAGATTAGCCTGAACCTGTCCAATAAAGGGCTTTGTAAACTTAGGTAAATTGTTTAGCTTCTCAGAGCCTTGTTTTCATTATTTATAAGTAGAAAACACTGGATCCAATCCAATCAGATCAGATGGACTCTCAAATGGATTTAATTGGCAGATCACCTGGACGTATGGTAATCTAAAGGAAATATTTTGCAGTACTGACCACACCTAATCTGGTCATAGAAATTAGGAAACATTTTCACTACTAGGATCTATCCTTATGTCACACAAAATCAACATAAAAAAGGAATTCTGAGATTACATGTCTATGAAAAAATAAGCCACAGGATTTAACATGGTCAGCCCATTCCGAAGTTGTGTTTTTATTTGCTTGCTGGAAGACAAAAGCAGATTCCAAAAGCTTATGAAAGTTTGGAGGAGAAAGTTGATTAAATTATATATTTTATTTCACCTTTTCTGCAAATTGAGAAAGCCTCCCATGTTAAAGTTTTAGTACTACTCTTCTGGAGTTAAAAGTGTGAGGAATGGCTGGCTTTTCTGAAGTCCTGGGCCGCTGAGACTTTATCCTTGGAGAAGCACTGCCACCATGTGGCAGTCCTTGGTCATGTCATTCCATCTATTGCCTGTAGCCACTCTACCCTAAAAAAAATTGTTGGTTTTGTTTGTTTGTTTGTTTTTTCACTTTAAAATTATTCAGAATTGTTTAAATTTTCCTTTGGTGTGGTGAAATAATTGCATCTCCCAGAATCTGCTTTCAAAAATAATTTCATGCCATAACTCCATACAGTTTAATCTTCTCCTGGAGAGTGCCCCGTTGTAAGGCCAGGGCTGTTTTTCTGGCTTAATTTAAGTACCCCCTGACCTTTAAAAATGGCACAGGACCTGACACATAAGGGGTGCCTACTACATAATTGTTGAATGAATGATTAAAATACCATGGCCTAAAAAACAAAACCAAA